TAAGCTAATAATTTATTTTTGTTTTGTTTATAATATTTTATGTTATAATATAGTGTTCAAAAACTTAAACATTTTATTTTATTATTGCATTCTTCTATAAATATTAATCTATTTATTTTGTGATGTTATATTATTGTTAAACATAGCTTTTTAAAACTGAGAATATTTCAAAGCAGATTTCACTACCAATTGAATATTATTTTTTTTGAACAAACAAATAATAAATAAATAATAACATTTAAATTTATATTATTATATTATACCTACGATAAACAAAATATGAAAAACCTTAAACTAAAAAAATTAAAGTACTTTATTTTATCAGGTAAAATATTGTATTCTAAAAAATTACCTAATTAATTATTTGCTAAAAATTAACTATCTAACTTTACTAATAAATTAATAGATCTTTAATAAAAGTTAAAAAAATAAATAAATACAGATAATGACCAAGAAAGGGATCATATACTTATTTATGAAAACATAGGATACTTGTATTCATGTATGCACTAAATGTTCTAAAACTTAATGTTACTAGTTACACATCGTGTTTTAAAAAGATTTTTAGTAAATTTGTAAAAATATAATTTTTAACTTTATTTAAATGAATAATTTTTTCCTACAAAAGTAAATAAAAGTAAAATTAATGGTCAAGAAAAGTGATATGCCCAATAATTATTGATTACATTAACAATACTGTATGCTTACAAGGATTTAAATATTTTGTAACACTAAGTACTAAAATATATATTTTTTCTAAAATTTATTTTATCTTTTTCTTTATTTTAAAAAAGAAAACCTTTTCTGTATACAAAAAAACATTTAGTAAAAGTGAAATTGTTACATTCTTTTTTTTATTATGTTAATATAAATATCATAAGTATATTTTCTAAATATTCTTTTTAAAATGCCAGATATAATATAATGTTGTTTCATTTCCTCAAAAATGCAGAATATTCTTTTATTACCTGTACCTGATTAATATGGGTTCTGGAAGTAATGAAAAATTGCTTTTTTTTTGTACACTTGTATTAATTACTAATACATTTTTTTTTTTAAATAAATTGTTTGAATAAATTGTTAAAAATAATTTTAATACAATGTACATAGATGTGCATAAAAATAATAAATTTGGATTATTTGAAGATTTAGCGTTTAATTTATTTTCTTAATTGTTTTTAGAAGCTTTTATAAATCTTTTTCTTTTTTTTTTTTATTCCATTGGTTAATATAGAGGTCTAGTAAATTTTAAAAATCTTCATCTTGCTCATTGTCTTTTAAATTGATACAAATATTTTCAAAAATTGTTTTTATCTTGTAACCAATATACAAATTATCTTATAAATACTTATTATTAAATTATTATTAATGTTGGCTACAACAATAATACAATTATTTCTTACATTGTCTGTTCTGCATTACCTATATTTAGTTTTACATTGTCAATAGCCATGCAAATAACAAATTCTTCTTTCTCTGAAACTCTATGTTTTTTTTTTGCTTTTATATAAAATGACTTCTAATGAAAATCTAGCTATAGTTTCAGATATAATTCAAAAATATCTTAACATAATTTACCTATGGATATAGTATTGGAAAATCAAAATCATTGATTCAAAATCGTCCTACATAACTTTCTCCTTAAAAAGGTACATGCCCTCAAGTCTTCTTGAACAATATCCCAATACTCTTTTTCTCTGAAGTAAAATACCTAGGTGTCATACTAAACAGAAAGCTAACCTGGAACTTTCATCTTTAATATAAACTTAAAGCTCTTAATGCTCACCTTCATCTACCGAGGCCTAAGTTCTGAAGTAAGTTTTTTTGAGGCAATTGCCTCATGACTAAAATGAGTGAGAGACCAAATATTTTGAATGTTGATTGAAATTGACTAATTCAAAGATCAGAAATACCTTTAGTTTTGTGTATTATATTAATAATGTATCTATTTATATGATAGCCAATATAGCTAAATTAAATTGTTACTGTAATTATTTGTAGAATATCTATACAAATCCATGTTTTGATTGGGTGGGTCCTAATTTTTTTGTTTTGTCTGAAGTATGAAAAATGTTCTGCATACCACTGTATATCTTATGGCTTAACTACAAAATAGTGAAAATAAAAAAAAAATGATTACAAAATATTGAATACAAAACAGCGAAAATCATTTAATCGAAAAAAAAATGCATATAAAATATTGAAAAAATAAATAGACTACTTATCCAAAATCTAACAACCAAGATCTCTTAGCATATTTATAAACTATTATGTTGTAGACAATTTCTTTGAAAAAATAATCAAAATTATCATTTTCGTCATACATATTTATACATTTATTTATCTGTTCAACTGAATCATTGTACTATTTTTTTCATATTATTTATTCTGGGTAGATGCTGCTTATATTTAATTAATTCCAAATGTTGTCATCTTTGAGGCATTCAATATAAATTTTCAGATTGATGGATGGTGTGGTGTTAACAATTAAAACATATTAAGAAAATTAATTTATTAATTATTAATTTGATTGTCTACTAAATAAAATATACTTATTAATGAGCTGAAACCTCTATGACAATCTTCTATGGGATTATTCGCTCCTTTGAGTTTAGAAATTTCATAGCAGTTTCAAAACATTATATCAAAATACAGTAATTTTCAAACTACTAACTGGATGTCAAGTATTGACCAAGTAAACATTTTAATGAACACAAGATTTATTTATGTAATTTGTAGAAAAAAATACACAATTTTATTTTTATACATAAAGTACCTATATACAATGTTAAATTAACATTGAATCGAATACACCTAAAACATAAATCTATTAATCTACAATGAAAAATGACAAAGTTATCTACCATAATATTATTTTTTAAAACATTAAAAAATAAAATGATAGTATTTATAAATATAATGTACATAGTATGTAATTCTATGCAAGAAAGGCATATCATTAAAATTTTGAACTAAAATTGTATACACATATAGTATAGAGGTCGCTGAGTTCAAAAAAACATTTTAAGCAAAGCAAAAAGAGCATATCTGTGAAAATACCTTTCATGCACCCAGCGCCTCAATTTGTTTCATGTTACAACAAAGCCAAATCTTATAGTTGTATATTATACATTTAATTGTTAGTAGAAAAGTTGTTCACAGAAAAAAAGAAGGCCGTACATTTTTTTAACTAATACCTATATTTCTTACATTTTGTGTAAATGTAAATAAAAAATAATATTCAAAAACACTAATGTTTTAATATTATTTAAGAAGTTTAAAAGTAAATTAAATTGGATTATAAATTAACATACATTTGAATTTAAAAGTAATCTAATAACTATATATTTAATTAAGTATTAAGTATTAAATATATATATATATACACATAAGTACTTAATAATTAATTTGTACATACATTATTCAGACGAAAGATGTATGTATTCATATTTAAATAATTTAAATTAGGTACTTATTAACTTAAGCTATATAAATAAAAAACCGTATACTAATTAATTGAATTAAAATCACATTATTTATATAAATTAGTATCTAAATAACTAGAAAAAATGTATTAACTTAAAACTAAGAGTTAATAATTTATAATTATCTAAAGTTTACAAAATCACATTATAATACAATATACTATTGGTGCACACATATACCATATTTTTTTTCAAGTTATAACCGATGTCAGTGAAGAATCTATTTTAACAATACTTTCCCACTACTGCTATCATTTATTAATTATTACAAGCAATATTTACTTTTTGATATTAACTTTTTTTCCCCTTTTTGAAACAGGCTCACGTGGATAATTAGAAATACCAAAAAAATAATTATTTAAATAATTAGTACTACATATTAACTTATCTTAACTTAACTAATGCCCAGAACAAATGTTTTTCCTGCCAATTCATTAACATGCAGGCTTAGAAACCCATTCTGCCATTTTTGTTCTCGATCTAGTGCGCATAACCCGCCATTTTGAATTCTCAAGCGGAACCACTTTGTGTCTTAGAGCCCATCAAGTCGTATAAAGTCACTCAGCAAAGTGTCGATAACCCCCATCCTCACGCTCCTACTACACATTATACCTAATGTTATTTAAGAAGTACATTAAATTTGGGTTGGGCGCCAAATAGTGTGTGAACGTAATGATCACTGAACAGTAAATTTAAAAATTAAGTAATATTTAAAAATAGGATATTGATAATTTACAAAGTAACAAAAATAACAAAAAAAAAATGCTTAATTACCTAAAACTAAAAAATAATCTTCAATGTCACTATGAGAAATATTTTGTGATAAACATTTATATTGATAATTGTCTATAAAAGCTTTTGTAGTAGGAAATGCAAGCACAAATACGTTGTAACTTTAATGACAACATAATCCCTCCATTAATAATTAGAAAAATATGTTTAAAGAGCTAAGCAACTATGTACGTTATTGGACCACTAATAGAGGGTTAGATTATGTTAGGTTAGGTAATAGAGGTATATAGTAAATAGTAGAGGGTAATAGAGGGAAAATTAAATTTATAAGCAATGATAAGCCATTGCTAATGAAAAAACAATTCAGAGCAGAGTTCAGTTAATAGTGTTATCAATAATATAATATATGTCATAAAATGGTAAAATAATTATATATGCAATAAACGTTTTCCATAATAATATTTGTTTAATATTGTACCTAACCTATTTTCCTATCCTACCATGTTTTTTTTTTGGTTGTTCTAATTTATTGGGAAAACTGCTAGGAAAATTTAAAAATTACCTCTCTAAAGTACCCCTCCAGTCAGATTTGATTTTATAAAAAGTGCTATACTTAATTGTTCACAAATAATAATAATAATAAGCATCATTGTAAAACTAATGCATTCCTTGCTCTGCTCAGAATCTAAAATGTAAATATTTTCTATAAAAATACAAAATTTAAGAAATATGAGGGATATGACTATCAATATATAAAAATTGCAAAAATTGTAGTCTAGTATTTTAATCCCGAAGCATTGGTATTTTTTCATGCAAAATACATGTAGATTCTTCATCAAAATTGAATATAGGCTCTTGACATTTACTACCACTTTGAAGTATACCACAAGCTCTAAATAAAACTTGCTTAGAGTCTTTAATTATATGTTTTTTACAAAATTTGCTTTTAGGCATAATTTTTTCTTTACATTTTATACCCATTTCTACAAATGTACAATTTCGCGGATTTACAATTCCCTTATTACTTAAAAATGGAGATGCTCTGATTTTTCTATCCATTGCAGTTTTAAATGTGACCGCCTCCTGCCCAGTTGGCAATTTGTGATATTGTTCCAACAGTTTAAGCTTTTGCAATTTTGCATATTCTTCTTCAGTGGTCCATTTTAAGTTATTTGGGTGTAGTTCACTTGTACATGATTCAGAATTAGATTTTTGATTTTCTAATTTTTTTTTTTGATTTACATGATACTTAAACAATAAATATCTATACAAAAATAATAAATAAATAATATTAATAATAATAAATTTATTAACTGGTAAGTACTTTAACACTTATAGTATTTAATTAAATTTTTAATATTTTCCTCCATATCATCTACTATTGAAGCCGCATCTTATGTACTCGTTTCTTTTCCTACCTTCTCTCATCATTCCACTCATCCACCTAAACATTCTCTTTTCTACTACACTCTCTGTTTTATTTTTCTGTCTATTGCCCAACACATCAAACTATACAACATTGGTCTCACCATATTCTTGTAGACCTAACCCTTAATTCTCATTAAAATAATCTTGTCACATAAAAATAATAACACTTCTCTCTACTTGATCCAACCATACTTAATGTTTCACATTATCATCATAGACACCATTCTTTTGTACAAAACATCATTGTTACTTAAAATTCTCAACTTCACCTATTACATCACCACTTATAATCATTACCTGCCTAGTCCTATCAACCTCCTGTCATCTCTTTCTCCAAACTCATACTCTACATATTTAATATAATTTTTAATTATATATACCTGAATTGATGCATGTACAGCAATTGCAGCTTAACATATTTATCGCGTGTTCGTCGTACAGACTCTTTTTCAGATAGTGTTGGCATATTACACAAAGGATCTGATTTGATCAAATCAACATCCTCCAATTGTGGAATTTTTTTATGGAAATCAACAGTAACAGTTTGAATTGATGCTTCATTATCTAATGGTTTTGAATCATCAACATTTTCTTTGTATCTTCGTGTAAGAATTTCTTTTATGCCGGTTTCATTAAATGGATTTGAACTTTTGTGCTCAGTAGCATAATGACTAAATTCTTTTATTAAGTCTATCTTTCCTTCCATCTTCTCAAAATGCTTTGTGTATTATGTGGTAATATAGGTACCTATAAATTATAAGTAAATTATATTATTATAACTGGCTTGATATAAAATATATAAAGGTAAAATTAAGAATATTATTTTATTTAGGTGATCTAATGTAATGATTTTATAAACATTAATTTAGTGAATAATAAATATTATAATTTGATATTAAATTTGATTATTTAGTCAATTATATCATTTAACATAATATTATGTATAATGTATACATTAGCGTGACAATGCACATAGGGGTAGAATACCAAATAATATAAACAAAACCACAAACCTTAAATTTATCCTTTGATATTGTGAACCGACTTGAGTGTATTAGTCATAGATGGACTATCTATACTTACTTTGTGTTTCAAGAAGGACAGGTACAGTTATATACAGTTTTATAAAGTTAGGCAGCAGACAACGCCACGACGTTGAGTCAGTGTCAAGAAACGGCGGACGAAAAAGAGGCTTGTCAGGATCGCGGGTGAGTGATAATCGTCAACCCGGAAACACAAAGGGAAAAAAAAGGGGATGACATACCAGTATGCCAGTGTAGGAATCTTGACAGCTCGCCACAATGTTAGTTAATATCATAAACTCAGATAAGAACTTTATCAGTGCTCGTTTTAAATTGTTTATCCGTGATTAACATAATAAAATTATATTTTCGATGATATTTACCACGGTCTTCTATACAGATCGGGTATATTGGCTATGGCGCAATGTTAATTAGTTTACTTATTGAAGATTAATATTCTGAAAAAGACTAACAATTTTAATATCAATTAATGTTTTGAAATTAGTATCAGTACGAATTTAATGCCAACAAATTGACCTTGAGCAAGATATCGAAGTTGGTATACCTAATAAACAATGTTTATTGTATATATTTGCGGTTGTCTATTCATAAAACATAGTAAGTCCCAATACACAAATTTTACAGTAGAGCCATTTTGGTAATTTTTCTAACACAGCACTATATTGGATACAGAAATTTAAAAGATTAATTCCAGAAATTATTTAAATATTTCAACCAAAAGTGTGATATCAAAAAATATGCAACGCGCAATTCCTAACACTTTGGATCAAAACATAAAAATTGATAATAATACATATACTGTGTTTTATGATAAGATAGCCAAAATCCATGGTACCTATAGATACTCTATGCTACTAAGATCTTAGCTGTAATTATCGTGATTTAAAATATGTTTAATATATTTTTAGTTTATTAGCTTTAATCGTAGTTAATATCTTAGTCAATGTCCTACGTGGACCGTGATAATTACGATACAGTATGGTTACGAATAGTCTGTGAGCATAGTATATTGGTATCATTACTGATATAGTAATATGCCCAAACACATGATTTAACAGCTGTTGAATTAATTTTGTTTTTTCATTGTCTTCATGACATTGCTGACCTAGAAAATAAACCCACCCACCCCCCAACTGATATTTTTTTGTAAATATTTAAAACATATTACATACATAAAATAAAATTAGTTTGGTACTTCCTTAAATTCTCAAATAATAAAGATTATATATCTATAATAATAGAGTACAAAAGTAAAATTAAGTAGGTAATGATGTCTGTACAGGATATCTCACAGTGTTAGGGGGATTTTTCTAGAGCTTTTAATGTTCAATTTATCAATTTTTTTTCAATCTGCTTTTTTTTGAGGACATCTATTCAGAGAAAAATTAAATTTTTGTTTTCATCTTTTAATCAATAAAAAAAAAAAAATTATAATAATTATTTATTCCCTTTTCAAAATATTTAAAATAGTCACTTTTTAAAAGATATTATTCTAAAAAATTAAATGTATCATACTTTCATGTCAGTTATAGCAATTCAAATGTCTAAAAATAGGCGTGAAAGTGATTGATATGCAAAAAAAAAATTAAGCATTACCATACCGACTGTGATTCCTTATTGGGTAATTCTATTAAAAACTATGAATTCCCTAATGTGGAGATAACTTGGAAACTTATTTTTTCAACATGTTGTATACTTCAGTACTAGCAGAGAGAGATTCTTTTCAGTTTTAAAGAGAATGAAGAGCTATCAAAGAACATCATTAACCAATGAAAATATGCCATTAATGTCAATTAAGTAAAATTTACAAAATAATGACTAATTAGTATATATTGAAACAATAATATTATTAAACAGTTTGCTATACAAAAAGCTAGAAAAATTTTAAATTTATATACCATACAATATTGTTATTATACTATATACTTATACTAATATAATACATATATATATATTAAACAATTTTAATGATGTTGTTTTTATATAATGTATGATTTTATGATAGCTAGGTATAAAGGTTGTAAGTGTGGCAATTATAATCTGACCCTAGGCAGCATATTTGATAACCTGACATTGTTAACTAAGCTAACCTGCCCTTTAATTTATTTTTTTCTCCAATGCATAATTTCTCTTTGTATTTTTTAAGCATTACATCTTCTTCAATCCTAAATTTTATTTTTTTGTTTCCTCTGGAATAAATTTACTTTGTCTTTCTAATACTCTCTTAATGTTTTCTAGTACATTTGGTTTTGTATATCTAATCAAGTCAAAAATTATTTACTTAAGTGTAATATAGTTGGACTTACCTCATTTGTACTGTACATACAACTGTTATAAGACAACTTCAATTTTGAAATATTAGCATCAAATTTAGTGTTGAATTTTAAATTTGGTTTTTATTTAAAAAAAAGATTTTACAATTTTTAATAAAATTATCTTGCTTCTTAAATTCAGGATGATGAAGTGCTATCTTAATATGATACATTTTATTAAGGGCAAAAAAAATATCTGTCTCTGATAAACAAACTGATATATCAGTAATTATTTAAAAAGGTAAACCTGACTGTCCAAAATATTTTCTTAATGTTGCACTAGTTTCTTCAAATGTAATTTTACTTAATTTCCTAACAAAACCCCACTGAAAATATATATCAATTTTTAATAAAACATAATCCTTTAAATGGTTCTGCAAAGTGTACATGTATTCTGTGAGCTGAACCATCCAGCCATGGTCAACTATGTAATTCTGCCTTAGATGGGCTATCATTTTCTGCTTAATACTTTTCACATTCCTTGGTAATTTTTTCCATTTCTTATACATGTATATTATATGTATGTAATGTATAATATATATTACATACAATATAAATAATGTATATATAATTTGTGTTTTTTTTAGAATTATTAAGTACCTAGGTATTGGAAAATACTAAAAACGAATTATTAGATATTTCTATAGATTGTATACAGATATATATTATTAAGTATAACGTTTTCACTTTGTAAAATTCCGCTTTTATAATAAAGTTTATCACAAAATATCATAGATTCTGTTCGCTATTATAGTTTTTCTAATTGTTATGACTATTTTCTTCCAGGTATTTGAATCATTCATTTAATCTAAAAATTATAACTTTGAATTAGTTATATAACTATGAACATTTTATAGAATAAGTATTTCTATGTAGCATGCTATTATTCATAAGGAATGATTTTTTTTCAATCATTACACAGGCATTTTTCACTTAATTATTTTATTTAATTTTTAAATTATACATAGCAACTAATAATTACTACAAAGGTAGGTACATATGTTTATGTTATACAACTAATCATTTAAATACATTTTTAAAAATATATACAGTAGTGTCAAACTACAAATATTCACTATGGTGAGTATTAATCTTGTATTGGTTAATCAATTTGGTAAAGCAGATTTACGTATTTTTTAATCAATCCTAAATAAAGGTATCTATTTCCTTCACTATATGAAGGCCACCATACTTTTGGATTAGGTATGGTGCAATTGCTACCAGAAGGTATATTTTAAATCTACTATATATAAATATGCAACAACTCTAAAGAAATAAGAAATGTTTTTGTTTTAATTGGGACACAATATTAATACTACTTGATATCAGTGGTGAAGCAAAACTAAAATAACCCAGAAGCAATTTATAACCTACCCAATACCTATTAATATTTACCAATGTATGCTAATAATATGTTCACTTAACCTTACTAAATTATTAGTTAATGAGTATTAATGTTTAGTTATTTTCATATTGAGTACCTACCTACACATCCCTTAATTTAAAAAAAAAAATCAAGAAGCAACTAAATGTCATGCCCAGGGATTAATCTCCACCTCTCAACAAGTTCTGACTTTGTTTGAAATCACAGGTACCTAGTTATAAACCTTAAAAATAAATAAATTATTGTTAAAAAACCCATCTATATAAATTGAAGAATAATTAAAAAACTTTTACAACAGTAAAACTATTGTGTAGTCCATCAATATCTAAATTATCTAGTATTTACATAATATACAAATACATATAAAATAAATAAACTAACAAATACACTAGAACAAAAACTTATTTTAATAATTTAAAAGCAAAAAAAAATTTCATTTATACCTACTTACTTAATAATAAGCATATTACTTTGTATAGAAACCTGAAAAATTAGATTAATATAGTATTATTAGATTAATTATAATTTGTAATTATTATTTTTTTTAAATTATGATCACAAAAATTGGCTTAATTTTGTGGAAAAACATATGAACTCTTCTTTAAACTTTAAATGCTAATGAATTATTGTGTGTTGGTTTACAATGAAATAAATAAAACCTAAAAAAAAAAAAAAAATTAAAAAAAATCAAATATTTAGTACAACATAAATATATGCTAACACTTTTATAAATATCAAGGAATATACTGAACAACTTTTGAAGTAGCAATATGATGATGTAATAAAATGATGCAAATATATTGCACCTCTCAAATCAGAATTCCACAATTCAAAATGTTTAATTTTAAGAAAAAGCGATTTAAAGTTTAAAACTATGATATTTTAAAGTATTCTTTAACTATGCTTTTGAAACTAAATTAACTCAAAGTTAGATTTACGACCTGCCATAAAGTAAATATGGTTTTGATAGATTGAAAATTAGTCAAAAAAATGTTATAATTGTTTAATATTGACATATATTTTTGGTAGCAAATGAAAAATGATTTAGAAAATAGCGTTATTGCATTTTATAGAATCTACATAATGCAAATGCATGTACAAATACTCGATAGCTGTCAAAAGAAAATATAGTAAAGCAAGTATTTGGGCTTAGAGATACATTCATATTTTTTGATGAACACAGAAAAACTGATTTTTTGATAGGTTGAATAATGAAAACTAGATTGCACATCTTCCATACTTGATTGAAATATTTGATTAGTTTAATAAACTAAATCCTCAAATGCAAGGAAGAAATACAAATATAATCATATACTCAATGTATATCTTTGAAAGCTTTTATGAACTAATTACAAAATTGGAAAAGAAAAATTAAATAAAATAACTTTAAAATATTTGAAAAACTGCTTTCAGTTTTCACCACCAACAATGATGTTGAAACACTATCACAAACATTAAACACTGACATTTTGCAATATTTAACTACCCAAGAGGACGAATTTGATCATTATATTCTAGATCTCAATAGAGACGAATTGGACTTTGTAAGAAACACTTTCAGATTGCCAGCTGAAAAAGTTCCAAAATATCAGGATGAATTTTTTGGAACTTGAAACAGATTCAAGTGTAGAATTATTTGATGAAAAATCTTTAACAGAATTCTGGCCTTTAATGATCATCATTTATCCAAAAGTAACAGAAGAAGCTCATCACATATTCATCTCATTTGTATTGATGTATCTTTATAAATCAGGCTTCACTAAACTTTTTCAAATAAAAAGCAAACAAAGAAATCGACTGAATGTTTAAAATGTTATTTGTTGTGCATTAAAAATTTCCCCGAGAATTGGTAAGAAATAAACAATCAAATATCTCACATTAAAATGGAAACTCTTTTACTAGAACATAATAATAATATTATAATATTAATAAACTTGTATAGGTCAAATTTTAAAAATAACTTTAAAGTGTTATCAATAAATAAAAAAAATGATCTTATTATAATTTTCTAATTTATCTTATATTTTTAATTAATAATAGGCTCTGCATGAGAATTTTAAAACTCTACAAGCGATGAGTAAAATAAAAAAGTTGGAAAACACTGATATAGATTATTATTTTTAATATTCAAAAGTAGGCTTGTTCTAGAAGTGTAGTATGTGTTACCTGCATGTGGACCCTTATATGTTAAACTTACAATATTAGTCATATAATAGTTAATATAATTGTTCATGTCTTGGACACACATGTGACATATAATATTGTCCATCCGATTGTTCCTGTTTGATTCACAGAAGACTGTAGGACTTGGGACTTTATGCATTGAAAATCCACAGAATACAGCTTAAAAAGTCAAATGCGCTCTAAAAAAAATTTTAAAAAAAGAAAAATAACAGAGGGCTCAGAGAGGTTCAAATTTCCACTGCCAACCACCTAACAATTAAATGCAATTATCTAACATGTACAATTTTCTCTTTTTTTATAATACTTACAATTTTATTTAAAAACTTGTATTAATAATTTATGTAATGTTCGAAAATTATATTTTATAAATTATAGTAGGGGGGCTTTTAAAAACATACGACAATTTTTTGATGCATTTTCAAGACTTTTTAATGTTTTTTTTGGCTTTTTTGTGGATTTTGAGTGCATATAGTCCCGAGATATACTGAGTTATATAAGTTGTATTCATTTAGTAATGAAGTTTTTGTACACGATCGTCCTGCGAGCTGTTGGCATAATGGTGAAAGATTCGTTTTAGCAGGCAATATTGCTGCAAAAGTTCATTAAAATTTTGCTGTAATTGTTCTGGAGTTTTAGGCAGTTGATCGTCTTGGTGGGGAGGTTGGTAATATGAGTTGTTCTGCATAGGATGCTGCTTTAAGTGATTCTTTTGCAGTTGCACGAACTTCCGCTTTAAGATTGCATAATTCCAATACAGTGTCTCAGGCGACATCGACTGTTGCCGATGTGGATATTGCCTATGGCGTTCACCACTGCCACACCCGACAATAACAAAAATACAATTGTGCAACTTGTTGCATTTTTCGCCATAGGGACAGTACCCTCTTAAATAGTAATCACATATTTTTCTCATGGTATGAATAAAAGTACCTAGGTACTTTATAGTAGTAGTAGTAATTTGTTAGAACAGTATAAATAATCCAAATGACATTTAACGTAGAATTACTCGAACTAGACTACAGCGAGTGTTCCTAAGATAAAAAAAAAAACTCATAAATTATGTAATATAATATATTTAATATATGTTTAAATATTTTGTAATATTATTGTTAAAAATAACTTACAGATTTGCGTAAACACGTGCACGTTCAACGGATAGCAGTCAAGTAGTCCGTAAGAAACCATAAAAGTGAAAACACAAGCGCACCAGACAATAGGATCTGAAAACAATCGATCGAATTACACGAACTAAAGACTTCAGCGAGTATTCCTGAGATGAATAAAAAATTGTTAATAAATATACAGTCCAACTTTCAAAAACGGTTTTTTTGCAATCAGAGACTTATCCCCTCTGAAAAGCTGAGAAAATTTCGGTAGCCGGGAGTATCCTTTAAATGTTGTTCATAGGTTTCACTTATTTCACAATATTTTATAATATTAATATTAATGTTTTACTCCCAAAAATAAGGGTGACAAAAAAATTCCGAAAAAAGTTAATACTTTCCGAGTTAATGAGTGTACCTAATTAAATGTATCATCTGGTATATATACATTATAGTTTTAGTTTTATATTCATTAATGTAGCAATAAAACCATTTTTATATGAAGCGGGAATACGTCTTTTTGCGACTTCTTAAACCAACGGGAACAACAAATTCAGGTCGTCTCTTTTCACTAACATTATGGAAAGGACGAACATTTAATTGTCAAGTGAAGACATATCATTGTGAAGGATGTCTTTTTCACTAATGTTTTGAAGAGGATTGACATTTTTGATAGTCGGGAAAGACGAACCGTTTTGACTTATCTAACTTTTTTTTATAATTATTGTATTTTATGATTAAGTATTATTTAATTATACTTTACAAATATCAAGTATTTTTCTTTAACGTTACTTACTTTTATTCTGGAATATATATCAATGGTATTGTCTATAGTACTACTACTCCCTAGAGTTGAACCTGAATTTAGGATAATGGCAAAGAACAATATTTTGTGATATTACTAGTTGTAAATCCGTCATAAGTGTGAAACTGGATGCATTATGATAAAGTTACATTGCAGTCGTAATTATTACAAAGAATGCATTATTAAATAAGTGGGATGCAGGTACATTTACAATTTTTTGATTACGAGGATGGCATACCCACCTATGTTGTCTTACTGACAATAGTGCTTGAATTGGTGTGGACTATTTATTTTAAGTGTAACGTATGAGATTGTAAATATTTTTGCATTTTTATCAAAAAGCACTTTCATTACAATTTGAACTTTTAACGCTGAAAAAACACAACATTACACTCAACTTTATTTTTGCTAATATAGTAACTTAAGATAAACCTTGTTTTGAAATATTGTTAATCATTTTCACTTGGCCAGACAGTTTAAGTCACATATAACCACTATCACCAAATAAAAGTCTAAAAATCTCGAAAATTTTAAATGTACGTATACAAATAACCCAACTATTGCTATAATGTTTTTAAAATTGTATCATGTCTCGAAAGAGCTATATATAAATGTATTTGAAGAATTTCCGGCTTTTACAATTATTTTTCACTGAATTACCACTATAACACAAATTTTAATATAACAATCAAGCCCAGATTAAGACATTTAGAGGCCCTAAGACCAAACTTTTTAACGACGCCCTTGTTGAAAGAATAATAATTACACGTTTTTTTAAACATGTTTATTAATCAATATGTTTTAATAAAAGAAAAATAATAAATAGTATAGACGTTATAGAGATCTAAATTCAAAAGCCACTAGTATTTATAAATAAATAAATAAATAATTTTTTTTTAATAGTGTCACTAGTAGTTTGTATCATATAATAATACGAATAAGTTCAAATTTAATGGTTAAATGCATACATAAGAATATACTATGGCAAAAACTGAGGCCTGGGTAGTTTAGTGGCTCGGCAGTCATAGCCCTATCTGAACCCTCTTAATCTGGGCTTAATAACAGTAACTGTTATTTTGTAAATATTACAGTTTTCCTACGTTTTTCTCGGTTCTTTTCGATTACTAAGAAAACAACAATGACAATTAAAAAATTTGATCTTTTTATTGTACCACCTAAACATTGTCTATTTTCGACAAGAAATATATTAAAAAAAAACTCTTTTCATAGTAAATCTATTGCAGTAGAATCTAAAATAAATGTGTATGTAAGTATAAACTTAACCTGCAATTGTAGTAGAGTTATTAAGTATCTACATTTTTTTGTCGTAAATTATAAATTACTGAATTATGTTTAAAAATTATTATAATATATTGGGTTACGTCGAGTTCAATCAATGTAAGGAATGTTCATTTTTTTAAGTCTAATAGTACTTCTTCTTTTATTTTACTAATTTGTGCACTACTAACGACATAGCAGAAGTACTTAGTACTTACAATATAAATGATGTCATTTAAATTAAAATTTGAATTAATGTAACAAAATTAAAGAAATAGAGATATTTAAAAAAAATGTAAGACCTAACATGGCTGTAACTTTTTGCATGGCTTTTATTGAAAATATCTACATAAGTATAGCACTCAAAATCATTATTCATACCTTTAAAATTAGTTTTAGATTCTGAGTGAAGCAAGAAATTTTCATAATAATTGGTAAAAACGGGAAAATATACGTAATGTATTGTTTTCAATTTAGTTTTTTATTGTGGTTTAGTTGAAAATATTTGTAGACTAGAAATTTGGACAAAAACTTTTATTTGCCTTTTCTAAACCTGGTAAAATGTTCAAAATATTAGAGCCATTTTTGAGCTATCTATATAGAAATTTTAATTTTGCAAGTTTTTTACGTAATTTTTATTTGGTATGTACCCATAGATAAAATTGTTAGACTAAACAAAAATGCTTAAAAATTTAACAGAACGTTCATAAGTCGTATTTTATGATAAAAAAAAGAAAACCAAAAATTGAATGTAATGAAGAATATTTTTTTTATAAGAATTTTAATATCAAATTTTGACGAAAATCGTAAATATTAGGGCCTTTCAAAACATGTATAACCGAACTCCGCTCAGAATCAATTATCGTTATTAATGATTAATCGTTGCATACAGATAAACAGTAAATTCCCTTCTATATCCTATCTTCCCAACTTCTCACCAACAACAGTGGCCCACCCATTGTGCAAAGTATATCCATCATTTTTATTTTTAAATCCTCAATTTCAAGCAAACGCCATAATTTACGTTTACAAATAAGAGAAAGGGGTACAGACGGAATTGCCTTTAATAATATACATTATATTCTTATTTATACTACTCACTTATGCCACTGACCGAATTACGTAGGTACAAAGGTACGTGCACGAGCCACGGGTTAGATTAGTCTCTTACTAGATTAGGTTACGAAACAGTCTAGATGGATGGATAACTGAGTAAGTGAAAACAATAACCTTCACGAAAGGCCACCGAACAGATATTGACATGCTCCTGGTCAGAGGGCAGGAGAGAAAATAAAATTATTGTGTGTAACTATCGTGCACGATTATCGACTTATTTGTCCACGAAAACTATCGGACTGCAGCGCTACATACAGAAAAAATATATAGGTTTGCGAATGTTTCTTATCAAAAGACGAAGACATATTAACATAATATAGAATATTATTTCGAATGATAAAATGTATTATAGGGCGATTAATTTGTATCAGTATGCAGTGATCAATTAATGGTAACGAAAAACGATTTTGAGAGAAGTTCGGTTAAACATGTTTTAAAAATCCGTGATTTTTACGATTTTCATTAGTGTGTACTTTAAACGTAAATATAAAAAAATGATTATTACACTTAACTTTTTACTAAGTTTAACTTATGACGAATATTGTCTAAAATATTTGCCATACCAAAACAAATGTATACAAATAAAAAATTAGAAATCTCGACGATTTTAAATGGCTGTGAATACTTCAAAAATCGCAAGGATGTTATAAAATTGTAACATGCTTATAATGGGCTAAAGTGAAAATGTCTCTAGGATGGATTATTTCTAACTGAATTAAAATAACAAAATTGCCGTCAGGCTTAAAAATATATAAAAATAAAATAAAATAATACGCTATACGCTAAAAAAAAAAAAAAAAAAATTGAAAATAACACAAACTATTATCGTATATTTTCCGGTTTTCCTGACGTTTTTACCCCAATTGTTAAAAAATTACAGGAAAAACAAAATAAATATCCTTAATACACCAACTAGATAAATAAGAATCAGAATCAGAAATCACTCTTGAATGATCAGAACAAAATTTCTGGTATAAAAATTATTATCAGACGAAAAAAAACATTCAGAATCTAAAATATTCTATCGATTCGATTATTTTACCCCCCATAGTATGAGATTCATGTTAGTAGATATTTATACATTAAATGCGTATTCATACGTCAGGAATGAGACATGCGCACCAAATTATATCGATACGGTAAGCCCTGAAACGAGCCAGGAGGAACCTCTCCACCCCGCCGCAACCAACAAGCATCTTGCGTCAGAGTACGATCGCCCGAGTAAGGCACCTTTATTGATTACGTGATGCTGCTGAAATTTTGCCGTCAAAAATAAAATAATAACACACTACAATATTATTACTTTATACTTTACTTTACTTTAGGTATCACTCGGGATAAAATGTCTATAGCAACCGAAAAATTAATTAGAAAAAGCCTAACGTAATATTTATTTGTATAAAATTATTAGACTAAACATAAACGCTTGAAATTTAATAGGAGGTTCATTATAGGTTGTACTTAGTGATTAATAAAAAAAAGTTGAGTTTAATTTAGTATTTGTATTTTTGACAAAACTCATATTACGGCGTTTTAAAACAAGTATAACCGAATTCCGCTCAGAATCGTATTTTATTAGCAATGATTTATCGTAGGAGCATACAAAAACAT